TTATTGATTTTGTGCCCCGGTTTATGACAATAATGACACTCAACGTAAGGTCTTATACCTTTATATGATCCTCGTCTTCGGCCTCTTCCTCTTTGAAAATTGTTCGGAAAATATTTCTCCTCCTCTTTCGCCTCATCATTTGATTTGGCTTGTCCACGGTAATTGTTGTAAGAGTTTCTTCCTCCTCTTATTTGGCCACGACCTCGGCCACATCCACAGAACGATCCACGGCCTCCCGTGAATGTAACTTGGTATTTTAATGCTTGATCCGGAGAAGAGATTTGAGGACTTCTTTGAAGAATCCTTTCGTGCGCCTCCAATCATTCTTGTAGACTCTCCAACGCCATTGATGAAAGATCTTGTGACTCTTCGATAGCCACAATAACATGATCAAATTTCACCGGCAAACTTCGTATAATTTTTTCGACAACCCTTTGGGTTTCCATGACTTCGCCATTTGTCGCCATTTGATTTACAAGAGAGGTGATTCTTGTAAAATATTCAAAAAAAAAATTTGTTTTCTTTCATCTCCATTTTTTTGAATTCAGCCCTAAAAGATTGCAAACGAACTAGTCGCCTTCGTAGTCTTTCATAGATGGAAATTTCGATGGCTTGATATATATGGAAATGAGCTTTCCGATATTTTTATCTTTCGGTTCTCAAAGTTTGCCCTTGTTCATTCGTCAATTGACTCCGAAAATATCCTCATTTTCGGAGTCTGAACACCGTCTTCAACAACGCTCCAAGTGTCTTGAGATCCAAGACAAAGCTTCATTAGATTACTCCAATAATCGAATTTTTCTCCATTGAAACGAGCTATAAGTGAAGCAAGGTTGGTGGACATTTTTAAGATGGCTGTGATGCCAATTTGTAGGCACCAAGATGTGATAAAATGATTAATCCCGAATTTGGATTTTAGTGATTTTGTGAAGACTTGGAAAAATAATATTTTTTAGTAGAGAAAGCAATGTTATCAGAACCGGACCGGACACAAAACCGGATAGATTTTCGGGTCACGGTTGGACCGGTTCAACCGGGTTCGACCCGGGTTTTTTAATTTATTATTTTTTTTAATTATTGTATTAATTTTAAACTTTAAAAATTCAATATTCCTATATATCTTTTATATATTTTACATGTTTTTTCCATTTTAATATCATATATCTCACTTCATTTTATTTTATTTATATTTTTATTAACATTTTTTTTATCTCTCATTTGACATGTCTCTTTCTCTCTCTTCCCATTTTTTTTCCTTTCTCCTTCACGCAGTAGCCCCCCTCTCTCTCTCCTCTTCATTTTTCTCTCCTCTGTAAATCTAAAAACCTTCCTTCTCTTCTTTTCTCTTCTTTTTCTCTCCTTTCTTTCTCCATTTGGGCCTCCGAGCACTGAATTCAGCCCACCACCGCCCAGATTCGCCCACCTAATATAGTCTTTACAACCGAGATCCGTCCACCTCCAATCTCCGACCACCGGATTCAACCCACCGCCGCCCAGATCCGCCCACACAACAGCCTTTACGGCCGAGATCCGTCCACCATATACTTTTTTTGACAAAAACCGGGGTCATTAACCGGTTCGCCGGTTTCCGGGTTTTACCCGGTTGAACCCGGTTTCGTTCATTTTGACCCCGGTTTTGGAGTTCAAAGCGGACCGCCTAATTGCTGGGTCCCGGTCGAACCGGTCCAACCGGCCGGTCTGGTCCGGTTCCGACAACATTGAGAGAAAGGAAAAGACTGGTGTTTTGTGAATGGAAAAATTATTTCTCTTTTGTTTATTTTGTCTTGCTTACAATCATCTCTATCACTCCATATTTATAGTGAGATTAATCTTCAAATAAATTACAAGATGATTAGACTAATAACTCTTCTAATTCTAATTTAATACATAGGAAAATCAATAGACAATTGTCTAGATACATCTAGACAATGGTGCTTCAAATTCACATTTGTTCTAACATTCAATCCCCTATTTATTCCAACATGAATGCCCACTTCTTCCAATATTGAATTGCCATTAATTCAAATATTGAATTCATATTAAGTTCACTTATTCCAACAGAGACATCAAAATTTTGAGATAAATCATCTATTAATATAAACACCTTGAACCGAATAAATATAAACACCTTGAATTCAAATATATTTTGAATTCGTGGTAGAGACTCGAGACTTAAGCTTGATGGCCCAATATACGTTTATATGAGTCTGCAATTTTCATGCATCAAAGTCCTCCTTTTCCAAGCTTGAGCTAGGGTTTTGGTTGTAGCATAGGCCGGTAGACTTAGACACTTGTTTTTTTGATTTAATTGCACAAAATATGGGCTCAATTAGCTAATTCAAAAAATATGATTTGTTTTTATTGACCCATGTACCACATTTATAAAACCCAAATATGTTATGGATTTCCATTTGATGTCCAATTAATAATCGATTGGCTATTAATTGGTGATTTGTCCCAAAATTTCAATGTTAACTAACGCCCCTATTTCCAGACTTGGTGAAGAACATTGTGTGTCTTTGTAAGAGATGACTAGGTGTGAATTGTAGGTTACATATTTTTTGTATTTATATTTTTGGCTTATTACAAATAAGTCTATCATGGCCCACTTATTCATAAAGCAGTTCAGGCAAAAAACTATTTTACAAAAGATTCAGACGATGTCCAAAGATGTGTAAAAGATTTAAATACTCCATCACATTTTAATATGGTCCAATCTCATTCTTTAATTCAATTTTACCCCAAATTTCACCAATAATTCAATTTTGAACCCAATTTTGACTACAATTTCGACCGTCGTTGACCGTCGGTCTTCGGAGTTGACTTTTTTTTTCTTTTTTTTAGGTCTTCTTTTTCCGCCGGTCTCCGGCGTTGACTTTCTTTGATTTTTTTTTCCTTTTTGTGTTTTTTTTCTTTTTTCTGCCAGCGCTGACCGGCAGTTAACGCCAGTCTCCGGCGACAATATTTTTTTTTGAATTTTTTTTCCTAAACATTTTTTGGCCCGTTTAAACAGTAATATTGTTGTGGTTGACAGGCATATTAACTATATTACTGTCTAGCACAGTAATATTGCTATATTACTCTATAGCATAGTAATATTAACACAACAAAAATCACTATTATTGTGTATACAGTAACATTAATATGTTGATCGTTCAATAAAGGCAAACATAACAAAAGGTCAAAATAATTAATATTGGTGTGATTGACGATATTATTGTGAACCACAATAATATTACTGTAGTGACAGTAATATTACGACCAACCATAGTAATATTATTATGTTTACAGTAATATTGCAATAGTGGACAATACTATTTTTACGTTAATCGGTCAACACATCAAATAAAAAAAAGGCCAAAAAATATTAATATTGATGTGGTTGAGAGTAACATTATTGTGTTTATAGTAATTTTACCGTCAACGACAATAATATTATTACGTTGACTGGTCAACAAATCAAACAAAATAAGAAAGTAAAACAAAAATAATAATATTGATGAGGTTGACAGTAATATTATTATGTGTTATAGTAATTGTGTTGTCAGCGACGGTACAATTACTGTCATCGTTCATCGGCGGGCGTATAAAACAAAAACGGATAAAAATTATAAATGAAAAAAAAAAATCAACGAAGGAGACTGGCGCTGACCGCCGGTCATTTCCGGAAGCCGGCAGCGTAAAAAATAGTGAAATAAAATTGAAAAAATGAACTTTGGAAACCGGCGGTGGAAAAAGTTGACAGAAAAGAAATAAAAAGTCAACGCGTGAAACCAGCAGCATAAGAAAATCAAAATAAAATGTTAATCGATTTTTTGGTCAAAATTGATGAAATTGAAGTTAAATTGGGGTTACAACTAGAAATTAGGTTTAAAGAGTTAGGGTAACTTTGTCATATACATTAATTTTGCCTTTATTTATAATGCATATTAAAGGAATGTGCCTATTGGCGAAAGAGATATAAGCTATGAACCTTGAATAATAAAGATGGTTGGTTAGGGAGTTATGCATAAAAATCACTTCTATATTTTGTAATTTATTTGATTAAAATTGAAATATGATTGTAAATACTAAATAGTATTAAGGGTTCTATAGAAGTGAATTGCCAAATCTTATATAATGGGCATGTGATGCATAAAAACACAATATATATAATTTGGGGCAATTTGCTAAACACCTTGGGCGCTAATATTCTTTCAGATCAGGACATTTATATTTTCGCATTTTGCTATAAGTCCTTCGGTCAGCTTAGTTGGAGAGTTTAGACTAAAAATAATCATTTCTGACCGAAAATATTTTATTCGCCTCCAACTCATTCGTCCTCATAACAACACCCACTTCAAAAAATGGCATTTATGCCTATCCCTACTAGTCATCTGCCGCCGACCGTCTAATTTCCACCAACCATATATTGGAAACATGTTATTTTCATTGATTTTCGGTCTAAGATGTCTATTTTTCAGTTTAAATTCTCCAACTAAGCAGTTCACTTTCAGTTTAGACTGCCTAATTTTCAGTTTAAACTTTCTAACTAAGCTGCTTATTTTCGGTCTAAGTTGTCTATTTTCAGTGTAAGCTATCTATTTTTAGTTTAAGTTGTTTATTTTCAATCTAAACTGTCCAAATAAGCTGCCCGATCGACTTATAGCAAATTCAAAATACACACCTATCCTTAAAGCTATAGAGAAAATTTTTGAGAGGTTTCCAACTAATTTTCCGGTATAATTTTGCTAAAATTTCTAACACCAAGTTTGTTTCGATAATTCTGGATTACACAAGGAGTTATGTGCAATTAATTGCAATCTAAAAACCCGCGCTTCTAATTTCCCGCCACTAAAGAGTTGGACTTCCCTCCAAAAAAAAAGGAAAACACCCCTCTTTCTCTCTCCCCTCAAAACCCTAGCCCCATTCTTTCGTACCCGAAACCCAGCAGAATAATTTGGTAAAGGAAAAGACAAAATCATCCATGGAAGAATCCCATTTCCCCCAACAGTAACAAAATGCGTCCATCGAATTCTGACGTTATAATCGGAATTTCAACCCGCAGCAAATCCCGAGCATACATCCACCGCAATTGTTCCGGCGTCTCTCTACCCGACCCGGTTCCAATAAAACCCATTTCCTTCCGCCCCGAAATTCAATCAGCGGAAGCTTTCCTTGACATGAACTGCATCAACCCACCGCCAGTTTCATCCATTAAAGATCTCCGCGCGCGAAGGGTTTCCACTCGAGATCTCAATTCAGTTCTGGCAGAAGAAGAATTGGATGCCGAAATTGAGGAGCGGAGGAAGCTGTTGAAGGTTTCAGATGTCAGCTCGGATTCGGGTCGGGTCGATGAAGGAAATGGTGTGGAAAATGGTCTGAGTTTGAAGGATCCGCCAATTTATGGATACCCCTCTCTCTCCAAGGGTAAAATGGTAATTAATTTAAAGTTTTCGGTTTTTTAGTTGATATTTAAGATGTTATGTCATATGCAATTGCGCGTTTGATGATGGTCGAAAGTTTTGTCGGATTATGTAGGCCCTAAATAGGTCTGGTCAAAGAAAGGTGTTCAAGAATTCGAGCTCTTTCGGCTATCGAAGATTGCTTCCCTATCTAATGGACATTGTGAATGCTGACTCTAGTAAGTTCTTGCGAGTTTATTGCAATCGGTACCCCTTGTGTTATATCAAATTGCTAAAAACTACCCCGTGTTATTTTATTGACAAAACCCCCCCTATGATTTGTTTTCGTTTAGCCCCTATCATAACATTGGGTAGCTTTCTAGCAATTCGATACAACGCAGTGTTTACTAATTGCAATAAACCCTTCTTGCTCTTGTTAGTGTCACGTCGTGCTTTTCTGTTTTAATGATTTCAAGAAAGTGTACATCGGGTCAATTTTTCATAAATAGATTTTGCTTGCTAAATGTGTTTTGAAATAATTTATATGTAGGTGTTTCCAAGATTGAAATAGTAGATGCCGAAATTCCATGTAAATTACAGAAGTTTGATGCTGCGAAGAGTTCTAAGGTTGAGAGCGGCGGGCCCCACTTTGACGATAAAAATCCGTCAGAAAATAATGAAGAAAGAATTGATGCTTCGGTTGCAGAAGAGTGTGTCCAAATGACGCCACCCGATCCTGATATCTTCACCAAACGAGAGGTTACGAATGGTGCAGAACACGAAATCTTTAAACGCGGCACCAATTCAGTTAATAGACCTGTAAGCTTTCTTCGATCGATAATGCTTTGTAACAAACAATTCATTTTGTATGAAATAATGCCTTCCGAGACTATTGGATATGGTCGATTTGTTGATTTAAATTTGTTGCAATTTTTTTTATCAGGTTCTTAATCCGTGTTCTCGACTAAGGCTGTTCAAGAATTCAGGATCACTCAGCTACAGAAGGCTGCTTCCATTTCTGATGGATATATCTAATAATAATAATTCATGTAAGTTGCATTTCTTGTTGAAGGAAAAGGGGGAAAAATTATAGTTTTCATCCCTCAAGTTTGCACTGATTTCACACTTGGTCCTTCATGTTTCAAAAATTCTACATTTTTAGTCATTTCCGTCAATTTTCTGTTAGTACTAACAGATTCAAGCGTGTGACAACGGTAAATTGACGTAAATGACCAAAAATGTTAAATTATTGAAACACGAGGGATTAAATGTGTCTTTCGTGAACATTGGGGACCAAATACGAAACCGGTACAAACTTGAAGGGTGAAAATTGTAATTTTCCCCGGAAAAGGGTATCAGACTCTCTTACTTACAATTTAATGTTTGTGTTTTGCTCTTGCATAGGTGCCTCGAAAATAGCTCAACATCCAGTACCGAATAACGAACAAAACTACGATGAGAAAATTAGAACAGAAAATTCCCATGAGAAACAACATGCCGATGATCGAACCGAAACTTTGTTGGAAAATAGTAATCGTAAAAACTCAGAACAGGGCTCTGACTGTGAAGAGAATATTCCAACCAAGCAGTCTACTTTTGAAGAACACGGGCTCGTTGGAAAACCGGAAAATAATTGCTTCGATACGGGATTGGAACATCACAATAACAACCAACAGTCGATTGAGAAAGTTAATTCGAAAGAAAGCTCATCCCAAAACAAAGTATCGGATGCTTTGCTTTCTCCAAGAAACGGTTGTTTGAAGGGAATACTGAGAAGAAACCGAAGAGGATGCAGAGGGTTATGCAATTGTCTGAACTGCGCCTCGTTTCGTCTTAATGCCGATAGAGCGTTCGAGTTTTCTAGGAATCAAATGAACGATGCTCAAGAACTTGCGTCGGAGTTGATGGATGAATTAGCTAACCTCCGTCTTTTATTGGACAAATCTACTTGTAGTAGTGATATCAACCCGGTAAGTTTTATACTTGCAATTATTTGTAGTATGTTCTTTTCATAACGAAAACTTCTTACGAATTCTTTTGCTTGCTATCTATTAGGATTAAATTAAAAATTATCCTTCTATTGACTCTCGTTTATTTCTTCTGAGTATTGTTAACTCTGTTTTAATGTAGGCTGTTATTAAACAAGCATGCAATAAAGCACTGGAAACAGAAAAGCAAGCCAAAGAGCGCCTTAGCCAATTGAATTACGAACTCGATGTTCACTGCAGAATCCCGGTATGCACCTTTTTTCTCTTCTTCAATTAGTTTAATATTTCAAAATGCTTTTCAATCTGGAAAATGCCGTCGTTTATTGATTTATTGGATTCCATACAGATGTTGGTGCAGCCAAAGGTAACCTTCGCTAACTACATTCAAGAAAAAGCTATTCCCGTATCAAATAATACAGAAAACAACGAATAAAGTTATGTAAAAAGATTTTAAAATGTTTGTAGATGAAATGCAAGTTATAGATTTTGTGCTAAGGTTTGCGTTGTATATTTTGTTCTTCGATACATGTACGGGATTGAGGCAATGGTGTGATATTTATGCTGCACGGATATCGCACTCAAAGTTTATTTATGATTGTTGTTTCTTGGAGAAATATACTATAAAGTCGAGTCTTTGGTGAGAAAGCCAATTCTTAAGAATTGATTTAAATGCAATTTTTTTTATTAGTCATTATTCTTACGTTCGAGCTTGATCGAACAATTGTTATTTATATTTTTTAAGTTTTGCAATTGGATTTTTAAGGCAATTTATTTTGTTTGCCTTGTACATACATATTTGCCTTTCAGTGATGACTTTGTCAATTTGCTGGTGTGGTTAATAAATTGGGACTTTATCCACTAACATTTAAAAGGTTTGTTGCTTGATATATAATCTTGTTTATATTTTTAGAGTAACTTACGGCCACCCCTGAGGTGAGGTTAAATTACGAAAAAACCTTTTCTGTTTGGGTAATTACAATCACCTCCCTTTCAAGTCTCAACTATGAATCTTCTTCAACGCTCACTAAATTTGGTGGAATATTCTAAATTATGTGGAATATTCTCCAATTTGTACCAATTAACATTTTGAAACAAGATGATCATAAGATATGTTTATTTGCTTGTAAATATCAGATTGTGGTGTATTAGAAACTGTATTTTTGCACAAAAAGAGTAAAACTAGAGAACATTCCACGTAATCTAGAAGATTGTGTAGAATTTGACACTGCAAAGAGTGGACATGTAAGAAGTTTCATAGTTGATGGGTGATTGTAATTACCAAACATGACGGGTTTTTCCGTAATTTGACATTACCTCGGGGGGATGGCCGTAATTTATTCTATATTTTTAATAGGGTAAATTACGGTTACCCCCCGAGGTGAGGTTAAATTACGGAAAAACCCTTATGGTTAGGGTAATTACAACCACCTATAAACTATAAATATTCTTAGACGAGACCACCCTTATGGTGTCAAATTCAACAGAATTTTTTATATTCCGCAAAATGTCTTTAGTTTGTGCTCGTTTTGTGCAAAGATGCAGTTTTAATGCACCGCAATCTGATATTTATAGGACACATTTATTTCAAAATGCGGAGCCCGAAAGGGATAAAACAGGTATAAACTGGAGAATATTACACAAAATTTGACAAATGGTGGACATGTAAGAAGATTCATAATTGAGGGGTGGTTGTAATTACCCAAACAAGAGGGGGTTTTCGTAATTTGACCTTGTCTCAGGGGTAGTCGTAATTTACAATTTTTAATACTTCAAAGTTTAAACTGACAATGAAAGTCTGATCTAATATCATGATTTTTCATTTTTTTTATATTCCATTAATCTAATTTTTGAAAACATGCAATATTGTGGAAAGATTGATATCTAGCTACAAACCAATTATTTCCATTTTATTTGCATGGTGTACAAGAAATTAAATGAAACTTCAACAGCCTAACATTTATATATCAGTGGGTGCATTCCAAGGGAAAGCCTTGAGGGAACCTTTTAAAATCGGTGCAATAATTGTAAATCATGAAATTCTTCTGAACCCATCTCAGCCTTCTCCTGCTGTAAGCGTCGAGTTCTTGATTCTGCCACGCCCCGTTTGAGAATTTCGACCCGCCCGTTTGCACGAGGAAGTTGCGGTAATACGCCGTGAATGGTGCTTTGGACCAATCCGTTTTCACAAGGCCACCCCTTGTCGCCCAGTCATCGGCGTTCCATAGGCTCGAGTATATTCTCATTGGTTGGCTTTTCGGGTACGGTACACCGACCGATTCGCTGTTCTTGAACACCCTTATCGGAGTGTTGTCCACCAAGAAACTGCAAAATACTTATTTTAGGACATTTTCCATTATTAATTTAATTTATAAAATGTTTGAAGATTATTGTGCTTACACAATGTTCTGAGAGTTCCATATGACTGAATATGTGTGGAAGTTTCGTGTCGGATCGAACCAGAGATAGAATTGTTGTTCTCTGTTTCCTTTGCCTTGTGTGAAGACATTAGTGTGGAGGATGTATGGATCACCCGACACGTTTCCTAGGAACTCGAAGTCGATTTCGTCGTGCGTCGGCCCTTGAGAAGACAACTGCAAATAAACACAACATCAACCAAATTATTTGTAAGCTATATAAATCCTATATTGTTTTTCAAATTTGTTTCATTTTGTTTGGATTAAGGTTAGATTATATAGTACAAGTACATACATCAATTTATGTTACTATGATGTTTTTGTCTAAATAATTGATTATCTATACATAGGCACCGTTTGGTTGCTAAGATTAGCGCTATGATTAACTAAAGGATCTTATTCGATTTTTGGCTAGCCAAATGACTTTTTTGGGCCGACCCGCAATTGTTTAAAAATATAGCTCTAATCTTGGGTAATCGAGGAAAGAAAAAAGGCATTTATTGGAACCCCGAACAATATAATTAGATTTTGATAAAATTATTAATTAATCTTATCTTGGATAATCTTATACTGGGAACCAAACTGACACCTGAGTATGCACTATAAGAAAATAAAAAATAAACAACGATTTCTTTATCGACGAAATTAATTTCGTTGCCAATAGTTATATTTTAGCAACGAAATATATAGTATTTGTGGCTAAAGAATAACGTTGTTGTAACAAGATATTTTTGTTGTCTCTGAAGATGCTAATTATAATAAGAAGAGACTAATATATACTTACGTAGTATGCGGTAACGGTGCCAGCAGAATTGCCGGCAACAAGTTTAAGCTGCATATCAATCCGACCAAACAAATACTCTTTCTTGGACTGAAAACCGGAACCGGAAACCTTATCGAGAGACAAAGAAAGAAGCTGGCCCCCACCGAAGATCTTTGCTCGGTTTTCGCCCCAAGTGAGGTCGAAATCTTGGTTGAAATTTCCACAATTTGCAACCACCATCAGTCCAGCAAGTAACAACAACAATATTGACAAGTAACCATTATTATATAAACAAACCATTCTTTAATTTTTAAATATACTAGGTTAGAGAGAAGAAGCTGGTGTGATAATGCT